ATTATCATCATCAGCTATTTCCGCAGTCTTTGTCTAGTGGATAACGTGCCACTCCACGCGCATCAGGAGGGCCTTACCCATGATGCCTCGGACCTCGTCCGACCATGCCACTCTTAGCATGCAGCAACTGCTTCGAAACGTGAGCAGTGCTCAATGGATTACGTGCCACTTCACTCGCATCACAAGGGCTTCGCCTTTGATGCCTCGGACCTCGTCTAACCACGCCACTCTTGGCATGCGGCGACTGCTTCAAAGCGTGAGTAGTGCTCAGTGGATTACGTGCCACTGCACACGCATCACAAGGGCCTCGCCCTCGATGCCTTGGTCCTTGGCCGACCATGCCACGCTTGGCATGCAGAAACTGCTTTGTTACATGAGCAGTGCTCAGTGAGTATCGTGCCACTTCACGTGTAGCCCGCGGGGCCAGCTCTGGACCCTTATCAGATACACCTTCGGTGTTCACCAAATCGGATACTCTGATCTCCAGCACGTTGACCGTTTCGGTCAAGTGCAGGCGTCAAAAACGTTTTGCCTTCTAGCAGAGGTGGGTCCATGACTCACCAAAGCTCCACCAGGAGACGTGCGTGTAGCGCCCAGGATGTTCGACCTCCAGTCGATCCATGACTCATGGTGTTCCGGCCATACCATACCAAGAACGAGGTCATACCTTGAATCCAAGTCTAAGACTAAGCAGATTTTCAAGAAATCAAAGTCAAGAAACTTGACACCGAGGTCCACAGGGACCTAGGTACCGTGACACATGTCCCCATCGCTAAGCAAGAAGTGACGATGTCACTCAACCGCCCCTTCACCGCCTCAGCATAAAGCTGACTTCCTATCATCGTGGGGCATTCGGCATAAATGCCCGACGCCCCGGAGTCGATCAGGATCTTTCATGGCTTCCAACAAAAGTCCTTCACGGTCGCTTCCACGACCAGCGAGCCTGGCTTGCATACACATTCCGTGTTCAAGAGCATGGAGCTCTTTGGGGCTGGGCTCTGCTGCCCTCTACCTCTTTGAGGCACAACACACAGAACTCAATTCTTCTAATAGGACGCTCCGCGCCTACTGGGTTTTGTCATTTCCCCGCGACAAACCAGACTGGTTAGAATCGGGACGTCGGATCGATGAACCTTAACGCGCTTTGCGCAGGGGGCAAATACGGGTTTCTCTACATACAAAACACCGTCGGGTGTTCAAAGGTTGCTCGGCAGCTCGAAGTCTTTCTCAGCATAGCTGAGATCAATTGATTCAGGCCCGCTCGACTAGCTACTATGGTGTGCATTCCAACCAAGTTGTGCCAGCTTAAAATTGTATTCGTCATTCAGTGCCACATTCACCGCTTCTTCAAAAAAGCCGGATGTACGCGGAAGGCTTCCATTCAGGCCACGCCAGTGCGGCGGATCTCCATAAAGACGGTCATGCAACCGCCTCGGGGAGGGATCGGCTGCCATTTCGGCAATAAGAGCTCTCAACTCTTGGACAGTGTTCACCAAATCCATCTTGCCCATTCGGATGGCTTCATTCAGGAACCGAAGTACCTCGTGTTAGTGGTCATTCTCGAGCTCGGCCCCCGAGCTTGGAGATAGCTACCGCCATGCGCTGTTGCCCGTTTTAAAGCATAGTGGATGACATAGCCACCCAGAGCGGGAGATTTTCTCCATCCTTACCCTCAAAGGTCTTAACGCTCACCATGAGCGGCCTGGGTCGGAAAGAGTAATCCGTCGTCGACGGTTGCGTCATGAACGCAGTCGACGCCGACAGCTGATGCTTTAAGTGCTCTAGCAGAGCATTTTCATAGCTCAAAAAAAAA